GCGCCCCACACTCCGGATCCTTCGAGTCCGAGCGGCGGCACCGGGGACCGGGGACCGGCGGCAGGGACCGGGAACCAGGGACCGGACTGGGAACCAGGGACCGGGAACCGGCGACAGGGACCGGCTGACCAGGAACCGGACTGGGAACCGGGAACCGGACCGGGAACCAGGGACCGGGAACCGGGGACAGGGACCCGACACCAGACCGGGGACCCGCATCCGGGAGGGACGAGCCATCCCCGCCTCCTCTTTGTGATGTTTGTGTGTTGTTTGTTGGGGGGTATTTTGCCCGTGTGTGCGGTTAACACGCCCGTGAATGCCCCTTGGCCAAGTGTTTTGTTTTAAATAAATGGGGTTTTTAATTAAAATAATAATAAATGATAAGAAGGTGCTTTAGGTGGCTGTGCAGATCAGGGTGGGAACACCGAGGGGTGTTTCCTACACCCCGATACAGCCAGCGGGTAGAAGTGCCCCTGCAGCAGGGTCTGTGGGAGGGTCTCGTGATGTGCCTCAAAAAACGGTGCCAGGGCAACGTGTCCGTGTAAAGCTCCAGCCCCACACGTTGGTGACCCCTCTGGGGAGGGGCTGGGAAGGCAGGCAGAGGTGCCACAGCTCTGGGTGACAGGCAGGGCCCCTCCTGCAGCCCGGGAGCAGCTCCCAGCTCTGCTGAAACCCCCCAGTCCCGAGCATCTCAGTGTCACAGCTGGGATGGGGACTGGGCCCTCAGCAGGGACTGGCTGCAAACCTGCACAGGGTGGAGCAGCCTGGGAACAACATCCCACGTCTTCTGGCTGAGCAGTTTTTCCTTTACCTGTTGTGGTTCCGTTCAGCCCTGGGGAGCACTGGTTTGTCACCCTGAGATGGGGGTTCAGGTGGCTGCTGGCAGTGTTTATTCCTTGGACCAAAGGTCACCAACTATTTCTGAAGAGATGGTGTCACAGAAGGAGCAGAAAGGTGGATCAATTCCTGACACCACCAGGATTGACAGCAGGTGCCACCACCAGCTGCCTGGGCACGTAACACAAGGTGAGACAGGGCAGAGCCCCAAAAAGGAGGACTCAGGTGTGTAGGCAGGTGGCCTGAAGGAAGCAAGGTATAAAAACATGCAAGTTTTTGGTGTTTCAGAAGCTGCTCCCTCCAGCTGGGGAAGGAGGCAGAGCAGGGGCCAGCACACCCGCAGGGAACTCCCGGATCTCTGCTCCTGCTGGGGCTGTCCTGCCACCTGCAGTTGTAGTTTTCCCTGTCTCAGGCAACGCTCCCAACTAGACATGCTAAATTAATGCTTCATGTGTTGTAGGTGCATCAAATTCCAGGCCAGGGGAAACACACAGAACAGTCTGGCCTAGAGCTGTGCTGCTGCTCCAACACCACAAACCTCCCAGGGGTTGCTCTGCTGTTCAGGCAGAGAATGCTCCAAGTCTGACAGGGAGACACCTTCAGGAGGTTCCAGGCATCCTTTGGTGGCACAGGGATGAAAACCCAACCCAGCCCCTTGCTTCTCTTGTACAGATGATGACAATCCAGAGTAAAACACTGGGAGGGAGACAGGTCTTCCCTGCTGCACAGGGCTCAGTAATTACTGCAGCTCCCTAAAACTGTTCTTCCACTTCTCTGTAAGGAAAGTTTACAAATGTGAAATTCCAGAACTCACATCCACCACAGTAAAATGCATCGATTTTATTGGTTAATTATATACAGGGGATTCTTGACATTCACAGTAACATTAGACAAGTTACCTCCACAAAGAGCAAGAGTAAAACCAAAAATGACAGTCCACTGTAAACAGAACTAGAAATCCTGCTGGATTTGGTGGGACTGGCTCCAGACAAACTGAAAAGGCACTCAGAGAAAACCAGCTGATGGACACAGCCCAGATAGTTTGTGCACTTCTTCAAGATGATAATCCAGAGGCACAGTGTGTGGAGACCAAACACCAGGATACAATGATGCAGAACATCACATTCCAAGCATGCTACATGTCTCGTGACAGACACACTTCATTTACTCAAGTCTTGTAATTTTTAGAGTCTTCACCTCCCTCCAGGCTCTACTTAGAGTGAGTTTAGTGTTATCAGGACAACTTTACACAGAGCCAGCAGAAAGGCTGGGGCTGCACCCCAAGCAGTCAGAAGACATGAATGGTGAGGCCAGGTTTTGCTCAGACTCTGGCACAGCAAACAGCAACCTGGGCCAACACCATGGCAGCATCTGGTGGGCCAGGGCGGGCTGGGACACAGGGAGGTAGGTGACATCTCTGGATTGTCAACATTGAACCAAAAGAAAGCTTGGCCAGAGCTGGCAGGGAAACACAGACTGGAAAGGTTCCTTTCTCTCCTTAACCACCTGCTCTTCAAGACCTTCCCTCACACACCCCTCTCCAAAGCCCAGCCTGGGCTCCCATTTATGACTGGAGTGCTGCCCAGTGCTCCAACCGTTGCCCTCACAGGCTGCTGGGCACTGGAGGGAACCTTGGGAGGCTTCTGCCCAGGCTCCTGCATCCCAGCCAACCACTGCTAGGTCAGCACCACTTCACTCTCTGCACACTGGAGAAAGCTGGGTGCCCATTTCTGTGTCAGCATGGGCAGGAGAAGACCCTTTGAAGACTGAGGTTCTCATCCTCAGGGGGGAAACAATTTCCAGGGCACAAGGGCTACACATAGTGTGAGGCAGAAAAGCTCACACAAGAACCAAATTTGTGTGGCAAGAGCCACAGCTATCATCTGATCCCCAAGTCACCCACCTCTGATCACTTGAATCAAAGGTGGCAGCAAAAAGATCAGCCCAAGCAGAGGTTCTGTTTTGGAGAAAGACACAGCAAGAGGTGTATGAAGAAACTGTTGTCATCATGCAAAGCCACTCATGACTCTGCCCTGTAACCAGACATCTGAGCACAGCAGCAACCACAGCACCTTCAGGAGAATCAGATTCCAGCAGCATGGGCAAAGTTGCTCCAAACTCCTGCAGGGATCAAGCCCCTGCAGTGTAAAGCTCTCAAAACATCAACAACCATCTCCAGCACTTCACTGCTTCAGCTTTCTCTGACAAGCACTGTGACTTCCTCACAGCTCTCACACAGGGGTTGGAAGGGTCTGGTTTCTGCTCTCACAGAGAGACATGATTGCTTGAGGGCACAGAAGGTGGTTACCTTCATGAGAGATGCAGAGAGGGCATCAGTGCATCCTTCTGCAACCTGTGACAGACACAACTTCCTTCAAAGATCCAGACTGGGGAAGAGCTTCTCCTATCTCTCATCAGGAGGTGGCTGGAATTGTTCCATGAGAATAACTTTGCCTCTTTCATCACATGCAAATTTGCTAGAGAAAGGAGCTCTCTGGAAGCCTGAGCCTGCTTTTAAGTCCTCTCCTTTTATTCTGTATTTGCACTGCCCAAAGAGAACAAGATGTCCAAATAAACACTTAACATCAAGATGGTTGATTTCAGAGGTGCAATTCCAGATCCTGGCTGTGGCAATAACAGATTTCCCACTGCCTTTCCAAAAGGGTTTGTGGGAGTAGTACCCTTGGAGAAAACACTGCTACTGCATGTGCCCTGCTACTTTCATCTCAAAAGGATTCCCTGAAATCAGTCCCACTCTGAAGGTGGTGCCTGCTTTTCAGCGCCCTTCTGAAAATTCCACCATCTTCCCCTTCAACCAATTACTGGCATAAACTGGGCATCCTGGGCAGAACAAAGACTCCAGCTTTGCCTCTTAACTCTGCACAATATTCCCTATGACAAGAAGTGGTTTAGCAAGGAAGTGCTAAACCAAAGCTGCTCTCTAGAAAACCAGAGCATGCCCTGGGCACCAGGCAGGCAGGAAGCTGTTCCTGCCTGTCACAGCCTGTCTTGCCTGTGAAATGTGCAGAGCTCAGAACTGAAGGGGAAGTTCTTTACTGCCCTACAACACTTGCCCACCACTGGCCCTGATAACCCTTGCAACTCCACGCTAGCAAGGTCACAGCATAATTATAAAGACAAAGAGGAGTCATCTGGGTCAGGAATACTTACAGGAATACAGGAATATAATCTCAAGCCCATCAGCTCCCAAACTTCACTTGAGACTGAAGGCTGCTGTAGTCTTATCTTTCTTCTCTTCCCCAGATCTCTCCTTTACAGGAACACAGTTGTTTTAATTCCTTCACCTCAACCAAGGAATGCCCCCTTCAGATATTTTAAACTTTAGTGTCACAAAGTGATTATTTAGCTCTTGCCTCATTTACAGAACTAGTTTTAGTAAACCCAAAACCTAGCTCTAGATCCATCCAGGTCCAATTCAACATGAAGTAAATGCAGGTTCAATGGTTTATTTAACATACTTTTGCCCTGTTAATATGCTGTTCTGCATCTACTCGGTGTATTTCCATGATTGGGAAGTGAAAGCAGCCAAATCAAAACATTGTTCCATGAAGCTGGGTACTCAGATGATTAACAACACTGATCATGCTCTGAGGGGCTCAGAGGACAGACTTATCCAGACCCCCTGAAGCAGATAGGTCACACACTTATGCTGAAGTACTCCCTTGCCAGGACTCCTGAGCGTGTCTGATGTGCAGCACCAAGTCTTCCTCAGAGGCTCAGTCCTTCTGCAACAGAAGGCATCGTTGGCCCCAAAAGCCACAATGTCAGGGGGATCTCCTCCCCTGGCACTATGTACATATTGAAAAAAAACACAAAAAACCAGTAAAATTAAAATAGCCATTCTCACACATACAGTCTCCATTGGCAACTCTGATCTTTAGCTACTGTTCATGGAACCCTCGCAGATGAGCATGTACAATTTAAAAATTATTTTTTTTTTCCTTTAAAAGAATAATTTCTACATTTCTGTCAGCCAACTAATTTCAATCACAGCATAATCTAAGAATAAAGCAAATCCTAGCCAAGAATGGCTCCCAGGGGGCCCTCAAGAGCCAGCCCTGCTGCCAGCCCGCAGCAAGGGGGAGCAGCAACCCCAGCTCCGCGCATCCCTGCACCCCAGCTAGGAACTCGTGGTGAACTCCCGTTGATTTTCTTGGGTTATTTTTTCTCTTTCAGCTTAACAGTGGATCCAGTCCTCGTGATGGCTGCACTTCAAGAGAGCAGTGGGGTGGAGAGGCTGCTTGCCCAGCCAGGGTTAGTGGCAGTGCTCTGTGATGTCCACAACAACCGCCTTTTTCCAGCTGAAGAAGAAATAGCCCGTCCCTGCCCCGGCTGCCACAGCTATGCAGAGGTACCCGTTGTAGGTCATGAAGATCAGCATGAGGAAGTAACTGACCACCACTTGGATGATGTGCAGCACAGTCTGCAGGAGGTGGGGGAAGCTCAGCATCTGCTGTCTGAGAACACAAAACCCAGAGGACAATCAGCACCCCTGAGACACGGGAAAACACGCAAACCTGGAGAGGAAACTCAGCTCTGAGGCTGCCAGGATGCCCAGGTGGGCATGAAATGGCAGAGAAGCAGGCTGGACATGGACTTCTGCATGCACCAGTCACTGTTCATCCCCAAAGAGCTGACTGATAGCAAAGGAAGCAAGCTACTTGCTGGGAGGACAAAACTTTTAGCTGAGAAACAGACTTTTACAAGCTTGTTTGACCCACACACCCAAGAAGCAGAACAGCTTTTCTGAGTAGAGGCTTTGGCTGCCTGTCTGCAGAAGCATCCTAAGTATCTTCTGCCAGGGTCACTGGCTATAAAACCCAAATTCTGTTCTGGGGAGCTCCCTAAATGTGTTTATTACTACTCTGGAACAAAACCAAGCTTAGCTAACTTCTTGCTGCCTTCCTGCTTTTGTCCCCCATCCTAAAGGGTGGCCAAGTGACTCCAGCACAGAGTCCCAGTCTGGAATCAATACACTTTGCTGAGAGTAATGCTGGCTGCATAAAGTGTTCTCTGTCCCAGTTTTCACCTCTGCCAGCTGCTGAAGAAATGTGTCTTAGAATGAAGTGGAATTCTTACCCAACAGTTTTGTGTGTCTCCATCAGGATGGTGCCGTTGGGCCCTGGCACTGGCATGGAGTTGTAGCGAATGCTGACTTGGGATTTACGGAGCAAACACTCTCGGGCAATCTTAAGGCCTTCATAAAACATGGCCAGGAAGAAGACAGCCACAAAAGCACCAGCCATTTCTGACAAAAAGAGGAAACATGGTTGTATCTGTGCAACAAAAGCCGTTTGCTTTGAAACACTTCAGAAGAGACACTGTGGTTCAACAACTGCACAGGCTGTGGCTGGGCACTGTGTGCACGCAGGGACAGATGGTAAATGTGACTTTAATCCATATACAAAGTGGAATTTTGCCCATGAAGTGAAACCAGCAGTCACTTTTGCTAGCAAGATTGGTCAAATTCTCAAACTCCACCAACATCTCCCTTTTTCTTTCACCCCACAGATGCCATTTAAACCAGACTCAAGGCAGTGTGCCTGCATGTTCTTGGCATAAATAGCAAGATAATTCCTGAAACATTGATCAATTGCAAACTTTTGTTTGGACTGGACAAGACAGTTTTACTAACCTCCAGGAGTATTGATTATAAGTCCAGAAAACAGCAATGGCACATTCTCATAGCTGAAGTGGAAAGTCATTGCCTGCCCAAAACAAAGAACACCAAGATGAGCCTGAATAGCTCATCCTGAGCTGGAGCTCACAACAAGATTTAGCAAGATTTGTGTGTTGACAAGAACTTAGATCATTTCAGTTGTTCACAAGATAGACTCAAAGAATCAATTCAGTAAATCTAGTGTAACATACGCAAGCTAAAGATGCTCCAGGCTCCAATTCTAGTGAGCAGTTCTTTTAAGCAGTGCCCCTGGCCAAAATCATAGAATCCCAGACTGGTTTGGGTTGGAAGGGACCTTATAGATCATATTGTTCCAACCCCTCTGCATGGGCAGGGACACCTCCCACCAGACCAGGTTGCTCCAAGCCCCATCCAACCTGCCCTTCAACACTGCCAGGGATGGGGCA